GAAGCAAGAATTAAAGTAACAACGTAGGATTATACTTTCCCTAAATAACTGCAAGCAATGAAAGGAAATCATCTTAACAGAACATAATAAAGCAGTGGTCTCAAGAATTCCAGGGCAACAGCATTCTTATAGAGACGCACCAGCCAAAACAAACAATCCCCGTGTTAATGCAGATCACCTGGAAGTGAAGGAAAGTCTTAGCATCACTCAGCTGGGGGGAGGAGATTTTTCTTTTCTCAATGCTGAAGTGGTTTATAAAGAAAATAATTTGTACTCCATGCGCTGCTGTGAAATTCACCAAGCTGAGCATTATACTGCTTACTGATCAATCCTCCCGTTCTTTCCAAATGTCCTCTAACACATCTTGCAAACTCAGGAGCAGCAGAACTGATTTCGATTGGAGGAAATGTAAAACGGAGACAATCTGAACAAATAGGGTTCATCAGAAGTGAAAATTACTACTAGTTCAGTAAAGGGGAAAATTACATAAATTACATTTCGAAAATTGACCTACACTCTTTACTACCTATGAAACTAAGGTATACACCATTGTATAAAAACAATATCAAGATAGTCTTGGCTTATAATTAAGTATTTCCTAAAAACTCCATTTAGAATCTAGTTTATTTTCATGTTTGCTACTTTATTTACCCTCCTCTGAATTTACAGGTTTAGAAATAATGTCTTTATCTGGACTATGGGCACTACGACTTAGTTACAAATAATAGACAATAAATGGCTTTCGCCAAGGCAGCTGCTCCTGGTGGCGGCATGTCTCCTGACAGCCAGAGCAGAGACTGGAGAAAAGACCCCTTCCTTGTTCTCATGCACCTCACCCAGCACCAAGTAGATTCTGGTAATACTTGTTTTTATTAGCCAAATCTTTGACTGAAGACTCAAGTCTGCAAGTGGTTGCTGGAAGTCTGAAGTCTAGTGTTGGAAGAAAGAATCAAAATATAAACTGAATTTCTACCAAGAAAAAACGTATCACAAAGAAACAGCCCTGTTGTGCGCACAGGCTTCTATTTTATCTGCATTCTTGCACCGGCAAGGGTGGCCTTGTAGGAAAACCTCACTTCCAGAACTAACTCAGATCATTCTGGGCAAATGCAGGGACGATATGCGGAGAGAACACAGGCTAGATGGGAGAACAGGAGCAAAATAAATTAGGTAGCAGGATGCCACAGCCCTTTATAGGGGTTTCAAATAAAAGCATGGCAGAGTTAGAAGCCCTGAATCCATCAGCTAAGTTATTACATACATCAGGCGGCTATCCTATACCAAGAAAACAAGTTTGTTTTTGAAAAAATTAAATTCAACAAACCTTGCTTTCGATTATTAGCGAAAGAGCTAACATTCGTTAAACGGGGGAAATAGGAAATCATTTATTAACTTTTGCTCAGTAGGAAATCGTACTGGCATCCAATAACTGTTCTGAGTGCCCCCACCCAGACTCATTAGTGCTAAAGATTTTAAAGAATAAATCGTAAAGAGCAATGCTGCCCCCTAAGTCACTTCAACACCCAGGTTTTGTAAGAGGATGAATTAATCCCTCTTCAAATATCTTAAAACATCTCTCCAATGTTTCTTGAAGGCAGTTAATGCCTTTAATTCACTCAAGCTCAAGAAGCAATGTGTAAGGCTATGGAGTGTGCACATATATAACATGCACATATGTGTGTGAGTCTGTATATGTTATACAATGGCACATGAAACCCAACACGTTAGAGACAAATAACAAAAGAGATGTAAGAAGACACTTACTTATTCAAAAGAGACCAAAATTTTTCTAGCTTTTTTTTTTTTTTAACAATAAAGAATGTGCAAGTTAGGCACTCGGTTATCTGTAAGCAGCAATTACTCCTGTATGCGTGTGCACACATTTGTGCGTGTATGTGTGCTTTAAAATCACAGTAGCAATAGTAGAATGTAACCAATGCTACCACAAGACAGCACAGTCAGTACTGTGTGCTAGTGTAGCACCTTTTCTGTCTCACACAGTTTTGAAGAGAATTCCCATACTGGAAAGGCAGAGTCACTTCCTCCTTGTTCCACACAGGACACTAGGGGTAACACGGCCAGAAAGACGGCTGTGTCTCACCTGAGCAGAAATAATTGGAGACATGATTTCAGGGTTTCTGTGCAGGGGGAGGGAACGCAGCAATTAGTGGAAATGCTAGGGGCAAAATGAGTGGGTGCTCTCATGCCACTGCCAACTCAAAGGCCCGGAGCCAACCCTCACTGCCATGCTTGCCCTAATGAAGGGGGGAGGGTGGGCTCTGCAAACCCCCGTGTATTTATTTCAAGTTATGCACAGATATGTCCATATTATGAGGTAGAAGAGAGGTCAAGATGATAACTGCGAGGGAAACAACTGGAATTAATTTTACTTAGATCTGAGAAATCCCCAAATTAATTATCTTAGCAAAAGCACTTGTAATAATACAGTAGGGAAGGCAGACTTTACTGTAATAGAAACATCTTATTCAAGATGGTAAAAACTCACATCCTTCAAAAAGTCTCCAAAAAAAACTTACTGGCCAGGACTAAAACATGTTTTTCAGGAAGGAATAAAACCAGCATTTGTATTTTACTACCCAACTAATGTAATATGCACATGGAAGTGGATATATAAAACAAATTCTAGTGACACGGTCAACCGTTAGTCTCCCGAGACTCCCACAGTAGATACAGGATGCTAACACAAGGAGGCTCTGGATGGAAAATAAAAGCCCTTTGTTTAATTATTAACCCCTCTTTACTGTACGACTTCTGCCCAATATGGATTTTTCAAATAGAATATTTATTAAAGCCTTTATTTTATCACTCGTTTTCCACTGTAAGATTACAAAGTATCATTTGACAGGAGAACTCAGGACTTTGCAAATACTTAAATACATACTCGAGCACTGAGCTACACCTCCAGCACTAAACACTACCATTAGTATCATAATTTACAAGTAAGAGAGTCGAGGGTCATGTTAAGTAACACACTATTAAAGGAAAGAGCCATAACTTCTTTTTTCCTTAGAAGACTCTGTATCACTATGCCTCCAATGACCTCACATGATGTGTAAGGAGCAGAAAGTCTCTAATTATTTTCTAGCAAAACCAAGAATTTTAGTTAGGCACAGTAGTGCAAGTCTATCCAAGCACACCAATGCTCTCAGTGAGGCACGGCAGTGAATGTCTGTAAACTCAGTACACCAAAGACAGGAGTAAGAGGGTCATGAGCAAGCACACATAAGACACACACACACACACACACACACACACACACACACACACACACACACACAATTTCCTCCAGGAAATAAAAAAAGGATGTCTGAAAAGTGTCATGAGCTGAATTGTGCTCCCCCAAAATTCATATACTTGAAGTCACATCTCGGTATCTCGGAATGTGGCTATATTTGGATATGTAGCCTTAGAAAGATATGATTAAGTTAAGATGAGAGCCTTGGGGTGGCCCTCAGCAGCAGTGTGACGGGGGCCCTGGTAAGTAGGGGCAGAGCAGGAGCACTAGCAGACACCAAAGGCAAGCACAGAGGCAGAGACCCCGCTAGACAAACCACCCAAAGACTACAAGGCCCTCAGGGTAAAACTAGCTCTGCTTGCAGCTCCGGGATCTACCTTCCAGAGCTACAGGAGCATAAACGTCTGTTGTTTAAGACACCCAGTCACCTCAGAATAGTCTGTGCCCAAACTGACTCCACACACCTCATCATGCAGGAAATTTTGGGGTGGAGGCCCTAGGAAGCCAGTGGAGGAACAGCTGAAGTCCTCTAGCAGCTCTGCAGTCACCAGCACAGCACCAGCTCTGCTGCCTGCCGCTGGGCTAAGTGTTAAGCATCTTGGCTTTCTTAAGGAAGCCAGGAAGAGTTCTCTCTCTCTGAAGGACTAGTCACAGGATTATGGTGTGTCACCCAAGCACACTCCTTCCAATACTTTTCCTTATGTGACTATCTCTCTCATGGGAGCACGGTCGAGAGGTCCCTTCAACTCCAACACACAAGCCCAAGCAAGCGAGGTACATGATGAATTAAAACCATTTCAAGACATGGCCTGGTGGTGTTACCTCAGATCTTGCTAGAATAACATGACATTTATAAAAAATACAACCCACTGAATGTTTGGCACTCTTGGGGAATGAAGAGTATGTCCACTTAAGAGCCAATACCCGAGGCTGTCAAAAACTCAAGCCAGGGTTTCTTCCATAAACATTACCTATCTTTTAAAATTACACAGTCTAGGAGGGGGAGAAACGTCTGCTTATTTCCATGTCTCCTTTTGCTTAAACACAATAAACATAAACCACACACAATAATATGTTAGATATGCAGTAAAACCACATTGACGGAACAGCTCTTTGTACCTGGCAAACAATCTCCACTGGAATCTTTGCTTGGGCCACCCTCACTCCGATGACACCTACACACAGTGCAGTCTTTAACATCGTGGGTCTCCTCTAATCCCAGTGCAGACTGAAGGGCTATTTACAGGTTGCTTTTTCAGATACCAGCCACTTGCTCACCTTCCTTAAACCATACAGAGTTTAACATCTGGAGGGATAAACTCAGCACCCACGACAAGGGCGTGTAGTCACTGAGGAGGAGATCTCAAGCAAGGAAGATTTGCCAGCTTCCCTCTGAGGTCCAGGCCCTGAAAAGGCCAACTGTGGTATGTTTGAGTTTCCATCAGGCCTGGTACTTGTTGGCTGCTGCTGTGCTCAGTGTGAACCCCACTGCCCAAGGATTCTATAAACATCTCGCCCTTCTGCCGAGAGCTGCCTGCCTAGTCTTTCTTCCCGGGGAGGAGGATACGCTGTTTGAGAGCTGCAGAATGCACGTTAGCTAACACTTGGAGCACAGCTAACTGCTCTCTTTTTCAGGTCAGTGACTACTCTCTAAAACAAAAACAAAAGCAAAACACTGAGTGTATGTGCACACTCACAGGGACATAACGAGAACGACAGAGAGGGGAGTCTAGATTTTCCTCACCGTGCGCCACCCAGCCATGTTTACACTGATCACACGTCCGCAGGTTAATCTTCCCAGGCTGGAAACACTCACACGTGCAGTTTACCAGTGTGCAGCGGATGGCCTGAAATGAGAGGAGCAGAGGCATCAGCGTCAGCTGGGAAGCATACGACTTCTCACTGGTTTTAGCAAACAGTGCCATCTTCACCATTAAAGGTTTCATGTTGGTTAAAGGTCTGAAGGCTTTTGAAAATAAAGTTTATATGAAAATATTTTACAACAAAGGGTTGAGAAGGCAAAGATGAACACAGTATCTTAAGTCTTTAGATACAAAGATAAAACAAGATAAATGTGGATAAAGGATCATATTTTCCAAGGACACTGGATTTTTGACACTAGATCTCCAAAAGAGAAAAACAATTCTGCTGCTGCTGTGTATGTTTATTTAACTTAACTACTTCACGATAATGCAAAACAGCACACATTCAAAAATGTACCAGCCAAATATTGTTCAAGGGAAATATCTGTAAAAGTAAAATACGGCAGACAAATGATAATTATTAGAAAAATCCCCTTTACTAGCTTTCATTTAAATGCCTATAGCTACCATTTCCCAATCTCTTGCCTTTCCTATGATTTATTAATTCTAGTTTTATCAATATATTAAAATAAAATCGATATTTTTATTTTAATGATGACAAGAAAATAAGTTGAAACTTTATTTTGAGATCAGATATAAAACAGAAAAAGATTTACATGAAGATTCTACTCTTAGAAAAATACAATTCTGTCATAGAAAACTGACACACACACACACACATGAAATGCCTTTAAATTCTGTACAAGCATTTTATAAAAATCATCTCACCAGTTCTTATTATAAAGTGAACTCTTAGAAAGCTCCATAAATGGAGTATAACTTTCTATGAGTGAAATCCATGCTCAGAAACTGTGCTAAACCAGCTGACCTGTGCCACAAGACACACCAGCTAATAAAACTACCTTGTATATATGACTTTTAGCTGCACGGAAATTCTAGAAACAGAAGGGATTTATCTTGATTACTCACCCACTAACAATCTACTGGCGCTATCTGAGCTGCTGGAAAACATCTCCCTAGAGATTCAGAGAGAATCAAGGATGGCTGGGATGGGGTGAGGACCCTCAAAGAGGACCCTGAAAGTGTGGATGGGCACCTGGCGACTACACTTAAGATACTCAGAAGCTCACCTTCCTAAAAGCATCTGGGTTTCACATAACTACTTCCCTAGTATCAGTCCATCTGTAGCACATTGAACTCAATGGACTTTTTCTCTCTATGTACAGGCCATGTAGGTTTAAAGACTTCATGTTTCACTAATGAACGCTCTCTCCGTGGGTACCAACCCCATTTTAGATGCAACAGTCCTCAATCTACGCGCCGTTCAGACTTAATTCTTTCTTTTGTTCAGTACAAAGGTGACACTTGTGGACAATCCATCAGTTACTTCGGAGTTTCTTCTAACCCAGTCAGCAGACTGCACCCTATCTAAGGTTATAAGGTTGGCTGCATGTTTAGTGATTAAAGAGCTAGGTGGGCATGAGGAATCTTCTAAAAGCTCACTTCCCAATTCCTGTACTGACTGATATATCATAACATGTTTATGAACAGCTTACACACATAGCATGCTGACTGACTGATTAAAGAACTCATGATCTGATTGTGACCAAAAGTTTAACATACAATGTTTCCACTAAATACAAGGTGCTTCTCAATGTATCCAGTTATAGGTTCAGACATGGAGATTATTATATTAACATTAAAAATACTTGAAGTACATTAGTACAAACTTATATAAATATTTTTAAAACATTTGTTTTCTAAAATATCAAGGAATAGGCAATAAAAATAATATTCCAAAAACAATTTTTAACACTAGAATAACTGATATCAATCACTTTGAATCATTTTTTGATGTTAATCATTTTGCCAAAATTTTCTGTATTATATCATTTAAAGCAAAAATTCAATTTTAGTAATAATCAAGACAAAAACAAGTAAAAGATCTACATCTTTTAGTTACACACACACACACACACACACACACACACACACACACACACACCGTGGCACTGGCTAATTCATTCATTTATTACTATTGAAATAACATTATCCATCTGGTTCATTTGTGAATGAAATCTTTTCAGATGCTTTCTTTTTCATGAATTCTATATAACCAAACATAAAACACTGGAACACCTCAACCCTTTTATATATAAACACTTAAGCCCTGGAATACTCATTTTGTGTTTCTATAAATTCCATAAGGCCTACCTTCTTAAGATTCAGACTTGCATAGATTACAGTTCCTGCTTAAGGGAATTACATATACTTAAACAATATGGTCTAAATAAATATTTGGAGTAAGAGACTATTGTGGCTTTCAAAGGAAGTTTTGTTTTAAATAATGTTTTGAAATAGCATAAAACTATGACATGCTATTTATTCACAACAAAACAGAACCTATGTGACTGTTTGCCAACTTAGGCACACTTACAAAATAGATTGTTGTAAACTATCAACACTGGTTAAGCCTCAGAAGCGTCCACGTGTTTCAGGGAGAGTCGGAAAGAGCTGCAGTGGGAGAATCTTTGTCCCTTTGAGCATCTTCCACTCTTCCATTAGCTAATGCTGGAGTGCTTCCCAGTCTGCTGCGAACTCTGCACAGGACCTGGACATATTATACTGCTTGAATGACAAGCACTGAACACCAGAAAGGAGAAGGCTGCAGGAGCTTCATTGAGACTGGCCTTCCTCCCTCTGCAGGGAGAAGTGTTCAGACTGGCCAATGCAGACCTATCTGCAGGACACAGCATAGAATACCCCCTCAACACCTTGTAACCTGTCTACTCAGCTCTCAAGAAGAAGCTGCAGGAGCTACCATTGTAACTACCTACATTGTAACTCTTTCCCTCAACTTTCAAGAACAATGATGAGAAACATTTTAACCTGCAATGCATTAAAAATAGTCACCCCTCCTTATCATTACCATGGGTTTCTTGAGAGAGAAATCCCACGTATGCCCAAAACAATGAATGTCTCTACTTCCTCATGCCATCTAGATTTTAATTCTGCTCTCTGCATTCTGTCCACAGGTTCTTGAAGCTGCACTCTCTGAAGCAAAGCTCTGGGTACATTTGGCTCCTCGTTTAGTCTCCCCTTCCTCCTAGACCTTGGTGAAATTTGTAACACTAACTGTCTTCATTCCCAAGCAATGGAAGCTGAATACCCAGCTTTTCTGGCAGCAGCAGCATCTCACCACTGTAAACAAGTACAGTTGTTGCCCATGGTCGGCTCTACATTCTTAATTTGGCAATCCCACCCTCTCCTACAACTCTACGTATCAGTGCCATGCAAAAATAAAACACCATTTGGGAACCAGTTATTGTACGAAGTGGCAAGAAATGGATGGCAGTGGCCTAGTGTGCAAGGCATGGCAAATTGTTACTTGCAGGCAGTGGGCTTAAAGGGCAGACCCCAAGAACAAGAGTTCTTAAACAGGGTAGAGAGCTACCATCTATTCCTCTCTATGGCTCCATCTAAATGCAATCACTTCTTACTGTCCATTACTATTAATAATAGTTAGATGAACTGAATGTTTTCCTTTTTCCAGGAAATGTGCTAAATAATTTACAAAGAAAATACTATGAGCTTCACATTTTTCTTTTTCTTTTTTTGTTGATTTATTTTGTTCTTTTGAGACAGGGTTTCCCTGGGTAACAGCCCTGGATTGGCTTTGTATACCATGCTGGCCTCGAACTCACAAAAATCTACCTGCCTCTGTATCCCAAGTGCTAGGATTAAAGGCGTGCACCACCACCACCTGGCAATCTTGGCACGTTTATCCCTTCTCTTTCACATGTGAGGCCTGAGGTGATAACGAAGTATCTTGCTGAAGCCAATCAGATCATCTAACATGCGTATGTCTGTGTGGTCTGCACCAATGGTGAGCAAGCACTGAGTGTTGTTCCTGCTCAGAGCCCATCACAGAACAGTTTTGCTGGCGTATGTCTCCCTCCAAAAATCATCTGTCCTTGCCTTTCCTGGCCGTCCACTCTCATTGTTAATACCTGAATTCCAGTTGTGTTTTCGCAGGACCACTCAAAATGGATCCTAATTAATTTGTTCATTCTTCTCTTCTCCTTATCAAACCAGTCTTCCTTGCACTTGTATCTTTCTGTATGGAGATTGCTTTAATCATTATTTTTGATA